TTCTATGGTCATAGTTTAGTCAACTAGTTTAAGGAACAAAATATATATCTAATCAAGGTTTATCTGAGAACATCTGGTTTTTTACCCAAGCTTTATCTACATAGCACATGGTAATTAAAAATACCAGACTGGTGGAACTAACCTTATTGGATGTTTAACAGCCATACTTTGAGGCCTATACTAATCTGGTCAGAGGGACCTTAAAGGACAGTTCTTACCCCCAAGATCAACTAAGATCCAGGGGACTATGGAACATCTCTCAAAATGTCCTGTAACTGTGGTAAGTCACCTACCTGTCATCTTTTCAGGGAAGCCATGAAGACTCCATGAGATGGACCTGAACCAGTGTCCAGTCTACAAAGAGGAGGGTCAACTCAGAGGAAACATTTCCTCCATGCTTCCAAGTGAAGCCAGCCACGGTCAAGCAGGACCTTTGACTTATCTTCACGTAGTTGGAATTGGTAAAAGAAAGGAGCCAGAGGCTCCTCCCAAGCCCATATGAACCCTGAGGAACAGATTCTCAAACAACCTTAACTGCAAAAATAAATTGATTTATTTGGGCCAACTGTATGGTCTTAAACACCCAAAAGGAAAGTATAACCAAAGAGTAAAGTCATCAGTGTATTTCTGTGAGAGCTCAAGGGATTACACTTCCCAGACATTAGGCTTAAGTCCATATAAAAAGTTATTTAGACAATTACTTCTCTTTGATGATTCTGCTCAGATGCAAGACTTCAAGTCTTGGTCTGCACCTGTAGCTAAGGGAGACAACCCGCTATTGTTCTAAAATGATGGATAAATTTGTTTTCTCCCCCATCTAAAAGCCTTTGAGAGGGAACTGACACTGATTCTAACCATTCCAACAGCTATCAAAGTGCCTGAAAGCAAATCCTGAATCCATCACTCCAGAGTCCAGCCTTGGCAGACAAAAGAAAAAGGAGGAGGAACCCAATAGAGGGATGCTTTTGGAAGCTCTCATCAAGAAATTCCAATGGACTGTTATATGAACATTTGAAATTTGCCCCGTTCTGATTCTAGTTCCCTGTCTAGAACTTGTAATGCTAATTACTCTTGCCTTTACTTCTCCTTCACATCTCCTATTCACCAGTCAAGTACTTTCTTTTCCCCACACATATAAGAGCTATGCAATTTGGGAGTCTTTTAGATAGACCTATTGAAGGGGTACCCCAATTGCCTCACCCTGCAACCCTGTTCAGTATGGAAGAAGCCAGAGAGGTCTGCATCCCGATTCCCTATCCACAAGTTGGGTAACCCCTTCAGAGGATGGTATGATAAGAATAGGAGGTAGGAATTGGCTAGGCAGTTAGGGTAAAAAGATCCCAAAGAAAAGTAGCCAGTTTCTTGGCTAAATGTGCTTGGGACTGTTAGCAACATACTCTGTTCCAAAGGCCAAAAATATCAAAAGTATTTTGGAGCTTGTATCTAATCCTTAAAAGATTTTAGGGTTACCTCTTCAGAGGGGCAAATGTCAGAGTAGCAAAAAGCCACATTTGAAAAAACGAAGAAGAAAAAGTACATTAAGTTATCAGAAAAAAGTGATGGGAAAATATGGGAGGAGTTGGAGGGGAGGGAGTGGGCATGGATTTGATCAAAACACCTTATATGCATGTATGAAATTCTCAATAAATTATTTAAAAATTACATAGGCTTCAAATATATTTTCTTCTCTGTTCCTTCTCAGCTTCTTTTGAAAGGGCTATCTATTCTAAACACAGATATACAGACCTACAAATTTGTAAGTATATGCATCTTAATTCTTAGTATTTTACAGAATTTGAGGACATGAATACAAAGAACTTTCTAAGGTGATTAATATCACTTTTTTTACCAGATAAGGCAAAATCTAAAAATCATGAAAAATGATTAAACAAGATATCTGATAACTGATGATCACATAAATACAATGATGCAACAATTATGGATCCCTACCAGCCATTTCAAAGTTCTGGGGACTGAGCTTGAGGTCGTCTTCATACTACCCAAGCACTTCACCACTGAGCTACATCCCCAGACTTACAATTCTGCGTTTTACTAAGTGCAGCTACTATGGTTTGTAAATGAACTGTCCTTCCCAAAGGCTCACATATTGAAGAGTTAGTCTCCAGCTGGTAGAGCTATTGTGGGAGGTTCTGGAAACTGTATGAGGTAGGGGCAAGTTGGAGGAATTCAGTTACTGGGGGCATGTCCTGCATCTTATCCCTGAGCCCTTCCCTTCTCTGCTTCCCAGCTGCCATGATGTGAACTGCTGTGCTCTACCACATCCTCCCTACCACATTAGACATCTCTAAAACTATGAGCCAAAATAAACCTTTCCTCTACTTAATATTCTCTCTGGTATCCAGATGAGAGCTTTGTGAAGGTTACCTATACAGCATCAAGTGTAAAGACAATGAAAAGCTCTGGTCAACTGCTTTGCCCAATAAATCTAGAGAAATGGCTGATAATATAATATTTTATATTTCTTGATAGCAAGATTTTTCATTATATTTAGCACTTTGAAAAACCATATTAAATATATTCAATAAAAGATTATTTAATTCAACTTAAGAAAGGTGTTTTTCTTTTAATAATTTTAAAAGAGCAGAATTTTTCTCCATAATTTGAGTATCCAACTAGTTAACAATGAAGAAAATATTAATACTCTCATTAATTCAGTAGGATTGTATTTAAAAATTAAAAACAGGTCCAGGTTCCATTTTTCGTGTAAACAATCAGTTTTATGACATGATTGTGATCAGATTTATTATAATAAGCAAGATGAGGCCAGGCACACACCTTTAATCCCAGCACTCGGGAGGCAGCGGCAGGCGGATCTCTGTGAGTTTGAAGCCAGCCTGGTCTACATAGTGAGTTCCAGGACAGCTAGGGTTACAGAGAGACCCTGTCTCAAAAAGACAAAAAAACAAAACAAAACAAGCAAGATGAAATTTCAATATACATTCGAATAGATCCAGTCTTTTATATACATATATTAATATTTTAAAACTACTTAACAGAGTTCATGAAATAGTGCTATATATATAGTTAAACATGTCTGTGTTTTTCATAAACTTACAACAGTAAAGGTTGCTACCAAATATAACATTTACATTTCTCCTTAATAGAGATCACTTACATTTTAAGTATTCAGGGGTTAATGAATCACTTTCCAGCAGATGAGTAGAGAGTATCTTATAAACCTCTGAATGTTCCCCCTCTGGGATAAAATTAAATACACTTTGATCCACAAGATCAGACTGAAAAAGAAAAATTTTTAATAAATTAAGTTAGTAATACTTCAAGAGGTGTTTATTTTAAAAATGCACAAGTGCTATTAAACAACAGAAGCACATATGGCTAATCTTTAATCATCTGTGAAAAACCAGTAAATGTCAAGATACAAACTACATCTTTAAAAAAAGACTGAGAAGCAAGAAGAAGGTTCACATTCCTTTCATGTTCGTCAGATCCATGACAATATGACCCTGAAATCCTGATATAGTACCTGTAAACCTCAGTTTCATCACATTTGAATATGCTCAAATACAATACGACTGACAGAAAAACTTTTGGCTTTAAAACACAGCCCTGCCATTTATTCAAAAATGACGGTATTGTATACAAAGACCAAGAGCCAATGACCAACTAAATGAAAAGGAAATCTGACACTGGTGTTATCTCAATTGTCCAACATGACCTTTCATTTTCATTTCACCTTTTCTAAGCATTTATCCTGTATCCCACTGCCAGAAGCCTTGCCCCAAAAGGACAATTAGTATATTCAACTTTGTAATTCCTGCTTGCTAATCTGTGACCTTAACCACTATCCATTAATCAACAGTACTCTGACAAACATCAGTGTACCTACAACAGGTCATGGCTGTGAAACCAAAGGTGAATCTACAGCTCCTATCCTTAAGAATCAATGACAACAAAACCGCAGCAATGTCACTGTTCCTACTTAGTTCAGTTCATCCTACTGGACTTTTCTGCTTTCCAAACTGCTCTGTGGCATCCTAGCAATTTTATGTGATATCTCAAGGACCTTGGAGATAGTGTGGGAGTAGAAGGAACAGGAGGCAAAGCAGCTATACTCCCATTTCATTTATATTTTATACACCTAGAAAGATTTTTATCTGAATAGCTCTACTGCTTTAAAAAAAAGTAAGAAAAAAAAAAAGTCATGGGAGATGAGAGAGGGAGGGTACTTCACTACCTCATACAGTCATATTCTTTCTACCTTTCTCTAATTCAAAATCCCCCTCAGAAAGTGAAATGTCCTTGACAACCTCCACATGTCATCGTGCATCTTTCAAAGATGAGTCCAAATTACTTCCTTCCAAACAGGTTTCCATTAACACCAAAAACCACAATACAAATAAAAATCCTTCAGCACTTATGATTCATATTTATGCCCATAAAAAGGTTATCTGTTACTTTAACATTTATGTCTTGCTGTCCCATAATGAATAAAAAGGTCCTATCTTTTTTTTTAATGTGTATGAGTGTATTGCCTGCATGTATATAAGTACACCTGTGTCATGCAATGCCACAGAGGTCAGAAGAGGGCTTCAGATTCCCCTGGAGCTAGAGTTAAGGACGGTTCGTAGCCGCTGGGAATTGAACCCATGTCCTCTACAAGAGCAGTGTTCTTTACCGCTGAGCCGTCTCTCCAACCCCAAAAGGTCCTATCTTTTATACAGTTATCATCTTCCCTTCTAATCAAGGTACATTAATCCTATGCCCTGCACATAACTGTTATACAGGAGATGATTTGGGGTCAAGGAGTTATATGATAAAAGCTTAAAGAGTAACCACACCAAAAATACACCTATAGTTTAATGAAGAATTCTTCTGCAAGACTGAAAAGCTATTAGAACTGAAGGAATGATGGAAATAACAAATGACTAAATGTTAGAAAACCATCTTTTACTGACAAAGTATCAAAATTTAAGCACTTATCAGAATGCAAAAAGCAGTCTTGACAGAAACAAATTTGAAGAACTACAATGTTAATTCTGAGAATTATAGTTTTCTAATATTTATTCTTACCAGCAACTTTTTCTAGCACTGTTGCATTATGACTAAACTCATTTTATCCTTGTTTTTCTATCTATATTTTATCATGTTTCCTACTCACAAAGGTAAGAATATAAACAGCATCAAGAGTATAACCACAATGCTTTCCTTGCCATTTCATGAAAAGTGTCCAACTTTCCATTAACCACACACTTCAAGTTTCTACTACATTTAAAGTCTCCACATGAAATTAAATGCACTTGACAGTACCATAATGTCCAATCAGTCACCACATGCAACTCAAATGGAAGAAAATGGTAGCTATCTGGATTCTTTCATCCGTCTCAATCATTTTCATGTAAAAGTCCTTTTGACTTATTTAACTGGCATGTCTCTATATGAGAGTCAAGTTACTATTTAGTGGAAATTATAATTATTATCAATTATCCTTTTCCTGAGGTAAGGTATACAGTAGGTGCTTTAAATTGATTGAAGATTCCTTTTAAAAAAAGAAAAGAAGGGGGCTGGCAAGATGGTTTAGCAGTTAAGGAACTGAGTTCAGTTCCCAGCACCCACATGGCACCTAACAATCTGTAACTCCAGTTCCAGAGGATCTGATGCGCTCTTCTGATGTAGGCATTGCACAACACAGGTGCATTTACATACATGCAGGCAATACACACATACAAATAAAAGTAATAAAATATTAAAGAAAAAAGGTCAGTCACATGAGGGAAGTAACCATAGTACACAAAGAGCAGCCCAAACTCCACTTTTTAATAAAGTATACTGTAATTTAATATAGAATAAAATGGCTCCACTGAATCAACAGCAATCTTTTTGCCCAAAATTTCGCCTGCCAGTCTATATTCTTCAAATGACACAAACCACCAACCCCCAAAACAAAATGCCACAAGATATTTGTAACAAAGGAAAATAAATGAGTATGTGACCCATGGAAATTCTCTGTACAACCTTCTCTGTATTTTGTGAGTCCAAAGTTGGTTCTAAAATAAAAAGTTTTGTTTAAAATCCAGGAGGGAATGGGGAGGTAAGGAGGTTTATATTGAGGGGGAGATATTAATGAGCAAACACTTCATATCAATTAGATCTGTCACATGTTGTTCACTTTAAAATGTAATTAAACTATCCCTCACAAAAGGGCCAACAGTAGTGTGCTATTAGGAAGTTATTTTTTAAAGAGCCATATAAGATGCCCTACTACTTCCTCATTTTTAATAAATAATTACTGAGTATCTCTGTGGCAAACCAGCCAGGATTCCTATGAATACAGAGATAAAATCCCAGGCCTTAGCATTTATAACTACCCTGTCAGAAGCAAACCAAAATGATTGTTCATTGCAAGTGACAGCATGCACGCAGTTAACAAGAGAAGGTCTTTAATTCTGCATGGAATCCAAAAACAATGTAAACATATAGGAAAAAAAATCATATACTTTCTTTAAACATAACACTGAAAGAAAACCTAATGTAACTGTTTATGATTAAAAATCACATAATTATACTCCAATTACTCAATCATATCTTAATTCTATAAAAGAATGTATTCCCTGAATTACTGTTCTATTGTATTGATTTTTGTTATTGCTGTTTTTTTTTTTTTTTTTTTTTGCAAACTGGGGAGGGAATACATAGCTTTATGCATGTTAGGTAAGTGTTCTACCACTGAACTATATCCCCAGCCCTCCTGGGGTTCTTTTTTTTACTATGCATTACTATTTCTTAAAAAGGAGTTACCCAGCTGGGTGTGGTGGCACACACCTTTCCTCCAGCACTTGGGAGTCAGAGGCAGGAGGACGGCTGTGAGATCAGGGCCAGCTTGATCTAAAGTGAGTTCTAGGCCACCTGTTGTTACAGAGAAACCCGTCTCAAAAAGAAAAGCAACAACAAACCCTCAACACAAAAACAAGGATTTACAGAAAATCTACTTACTCTGCTCTTCTTTCTGCCCCCAACATTTTACTTGCATGTTACTGCACTTTCATGCCTTGCTCTCAAATGTTTTTTTAAATAAGATTTGGGCTACAAAAGCAGTAAAGTCGAGTCATTTTTGTACTAAATAAAGAAGTAAGTACATTTAGGGTTGGAGAGAGGACTCAGAGGTTTAGAGCCCTTATTACTCCTCCAGAGGCCCTGAGTTCAGTTCCCAGCACCCACTATGGGCAGGGTTCACAACGACCTGTAACTCTAGCTCCAGGGAATTTGATAATTTCTTTTGGCCAACAAGGGACCCACAAGTATGCCACTTACAAAAACACAGCAGACACACACACACACACACACACACACACACACACACACACACACACATACATGCGTAAATTTAAAAAAATAACAAAATAACATTTAAAAACAGAAATTAGTACATTACTTAACAGCTGGGCTTTTAGCAAAAAAATTACCCTTTTAGAGGCTGGTCTTTTAAATGCAGAGCTCATTCTTTAGATAAGGTATTAAATAGCAGACAGAAAATGCTGCTTTTTAATAATTTTTAAAAGTGGTTATTTACAGAGCAGTTTACTTTTCACTGTCATAAATTTCCAAATGAACATTTTAAGAGTATTTTTAAAATATCAGAATTTTTTATTATAAGTCCATCTTACACAAGCACATTATATAAAAATTTCAAATGTACATTATTTTAAAATTTTTTGATTGAAGAATTTTGTACAATATATTTTGATCAAATTCAGACACCTTCCCCATCTCCATTTTCACCTTACTACCATCCCCCACACCCCACCCCCACTCCATATCCTCTATTAGCAATTGAACACCCCATTTATCTTACAAAACTCATCTAAACTAGGAGTCGGAGAGACCACAACTCACTATAATATCAGTGATCTATAATTCTTACACACAGATGGGCCAAAGCAAGGGGCCATTCCCTTTCCTTTCTAAGTGGTTTTGAGTAGGAATACATCTAGGTTTCTTGGAATGGCATTTTCACACTTACTCTCTGTTTCTCATATACACTGCCTAAGACTGTCAAGAAGGGACTTAGGCTTGGGTTACCTCATCAAAATCAGTATCCATAGTTCAAGTACATGCAGGCCTCATTTTGGCTATCCCAGGATCTCACACAGCATAATCACCCCACTATAGTCCAATGTGTTCTCCAACAGGTTGACTCCATAGAGGATTGATTGGCTGATTTATTTATATTTATTTATTTATTTATTTATTTAGGTCTTTTTGAGACAGGGTCTCCCTGTAGCCCCAGCTGGCCTGGAACACACTATGTAAACCAGGCTAGCCTTGAACTCACAGAGATCCCCCTGCCTCGGCTTGTAGGCTGAGTCCCCGGTAAGAAAGGTGGAGCAGGGGTGGCACAGCAGGTGGTAGAGTGGTCATAATGACTTCCTGGCTGCACTTGAGCTCCCCAGCCAGGTGGCCCAGTGACCCAGGGGCCTGGTCTGCATGCCCGCCCCATGCACTTTAAAAATCATCAACTGCAGTCAGCACTGAGCTTAGTGTACAGTACAGAATGGAAGTTCAATAAATAAAAGACCAAGTAAAAAAAGCAAATATTTACTTTTACGTATTCACCATGTCAATCAAAAATTATTCGGTGTATTTATAATTCTTTATGACTTTTTTTTTTTCATTGCTGAGGATCAAATCCAGGATCTTACACAAGCTAAGCACTCTACCACTGAGCTACATCTCCAGCCCAGTATACTTTTATGAACACATATTTCAGAAGTGAATATGGTCATTATTACATTATCAGTTCAATTCATGTAAGAGTTCTGAATCTACTATTTTTAGTTTTTATGAGTCATCAACCACTGTTCAAACATCAGTCTTAGGGTCTAATATTTAAGTATCAATACCTATATTAAGTAATAAATTATAGGATTTTTATACTTACTGGTAAATGTTCAAGTAATGAAGTTACACTCTCAGATACATATATTATACTTCCATCTGTCATGATCGCTAAAAAAAAACCATCAAGAGCCTGAAATTAAACATAATGGTCAGTTAAATGAAAAGCAAAACAGTATTTCACTGGACAGAAGTAAGCTAAATGACAAAGAACTTGTGAAAATATTCAAAGTAGTAAAATGCCAGTTGTTTTCTTTTAGATACCTTAGTTTATATTTTTGTGCATTTTTAAATGTTTCTGAGAGAAAAAAAAATTAACTCTACGGCTATCTATTGGATAGCTGGTTTCTAAAGATAAGAAATCAGTACTCTGCCTCTGTAACTGTATACCACATAATACAACATGTAGTATGGTAGAGTTTATTTGAAACTCTTATTTCCAAGGTACACATACCAATAGCATCATTTTGACCCCTTGGAGAACACTATTATTATTTTGGAAATGTTAAGAGAGAAGTACATGGTTGAAATATAGGAAGATATATGTAAGGAATAGAGTGAAGGGAGAGAGAGAAGAAATTAAACCAATAAATAAGCTGAGGCTGAATCATGTAAAACCTGAATTCCTGGTAAAGATGTCTTTATTCTGTTCACAATGGGAAGCCAACAGATTTCAGGATATGGAGTTGTGCTTTAATGGTAGTAGAGAGGAAGAAGTGTGTAAAGTGAATCTCAAGGGAACAGAGAATTGAGTCAGGAAACCTGCTTGGAGGTAATTAGGCAAATTAATGAGAATCTGACTGAAACAAGAAAAGAGAAGGATTAACTATGCACTGAGAAACACAAGTTTCAGGATAGATGTTAGAACAGGGTATACAAGCCTCAAGAATAAAGCAACCCAAAGCCGGGTGTGGTAGCGCATACCTTTAATCCCAGCACTCGGGAGGCAGAGGCAGGCGGATCTCTGTGAGTTCAAGGCCAGCCTGGTCTAATAGTGAGTTCCAGGTCAGCTGGGGCTACAGGGAGACCCTGTCTCAAAAAGACCAAAAAAAAATAAAATAAAATAATAAAGCAATGCTGTATTTTCTATTTTTCAATGTGCTTTCATTTAAGAGTCCTCAGCAAAGAAGTAACAGTTGAAGAAATGAGATCTTCAGTACAAAGAAACAGGCCAAAGATAAATCTTGGAAGAATCACTTCTGAGTATCAAGAAAGGGAAAGAAAAGAGTCAAAGAAATGACAAAGACAGAATACACTGTTGTTAGAGAAGATATGAATGGAACACAGCAGGACAAGGATTAAGAAAATGAACAAATTTTGGTGATTTTCAGAGTTATGTCAAAGGAAGGCAAGTCAGATTACAATGAATTTAGAATGAGCGGACAATAAGAAGCTATCGTAACTCACTCATTCATAAACCTGACAAGGAAGATGAAAAGAAGGGCAACACTTTTGAAGGGATCAAGTATCAAGGGAACACACTGAACAACAAAACAGCAAAAGGTAACCAAGTATATTTGTACACTAAAGGAAAGGAAGATCCAGCGGAGAAACTGAAAATAACTTAAATAGCTCTTTCAAAGGGTAGCAACCTCTGGTAGAAATCATGCGTGTGTTAGTCACCTTCATGTCTGAAGCACTAGATATATGTGTGCATACACACACACACACATACACACACACACATGGCACAAGTGAAAAGTATGTGTAGTATATAAATGATGGAACTGGGAGTGAAAGCAACCTCCTTCTAATTCTAAACAGCTGGATTTCACTGTTTTCAGGTTTTGTTTTGTTTCTTTAGGGGGGTGGGGGGGGTAGGGTTCTTGAGACACCTGAAGCCCAGTCTGGTCTTGAACTTACAGTGATCCTCAGCTGGGATTATAGGTATGAGCCACCATGCCCAGATCCAACTTATAATAGTAATTTTTATTATAGCTGTTGTTTACAGTGCTAGGCATGAATGCAGGGCTTCATGGAATGCTAGGCCAGTGCCCTACCACTCTATAAAGCTATATCAGCTATATCCCCAGTCTGTAACTGCTTCTGTACAGAAAAAGGCACATTTCCCCACCTTTTCTCCTATTGGAGGAGAGATGTGTTTATCAGAGATAACTTATTTTGCACAGTTGTCTACCTTTTAGAATGAAGCAAATCTATTTTTCAGATGAGAGATATGAAATTTTAATTTAAGTCAACTCATTAAGTCTTTAGTAAAACAATGTCAGTATTACTCCATTATGATTTAATTAGTAATTATCTGCTTTCTGAACAGGGTCAAAATGATATAAAGAAGAAAACTATGCTTTCCTCATATGAAAAAGACTGTCACTTTTGAAAGCAAATTAACATCCATTATGATGGTAAGTACTTCCTACTAAGACACAGGTAGGAATTCAGGGAATCTCTTTTCTCTGAAGGGATTGAACTGAAATTAGAACTGTTTTAACCCCACTTCTAAATCTAAAACCTGCTTGTTCCTTTTTTGGAACCAAAGACTCAACATCTTGCCAAAGTCTTGGCACAAAAATAGACTCAGGGTCCAGGTATCTTTTGAGCAGAGGGCCATAATTTTTCTCTAAAGGCAAAAATTAAAAGAGCTTTGAGAAAGATGATTAGAGAAATGTGGAAAAATAAGGCACAGGGTATCGTCAGGCTATGATAGACAACTGTGATGCTTACCATCCCCCACCTCCCCCCTGTCAGCTGCCAAGGGGAAAGAAGTATTTACTCAGAGATGACTGAACAGAGATGACTTTCCAGAGATGTAATCGTGCTAAATTGTCTTGCCATGCCTACTCCCAGTCCTCCAAGGGTAGTAAAAAGTATTCTTCAGGCAACAGAGACAAGACAGAGAGGAACAGCTGCACTGGGGGAGTAGAGAGAGTCAACACAAAAGTGGAAAGTGAGTATTAAGACTTTGGTTCTAGTTCTATTAATTAGCTATCTGACAGTAAACAGGCTGCAACTTTTCTGGGCATTGTCAATGAAATGGAAAAATTAGACTAATGATCTAATCTCTTGTACCAGCAACTCTAACATACTGAGATACAGCCTAAATCTGAAATTCTGTTCAAAATAGTCTGTGGTCTGCTTATCTGTATACAATCTAACCAATACAACTATCTAAGGGTAACACAAATACATTATATTCTTCCTAGTCAAACTTCACCCAAAGAAAACCAGTCTATTTTATGAACAAAACCAGTTCTAAGTTATGAATCCAAATTTTTCATGTTCAATCAGCAAGACTGAAAAGACCTGAGGCATTTAAAATCAAATGTGTGCAAACGCCTGAACTGAGGATGCAAGATAAGATACATATATTGGCTCCCTCATCTTGGTATATTAATGCTAAAAAACACATTTACTAAGTTGTTTTACATATTAAAGGCTTTAAATGTTTGGGCTAGCAAGATAGCTCAATGGGTAGTTCCTTGTTGCTAAGCCTGCAGCTTGAGTTTGATCTCCAGAACCCACATGGTAGGAGAGGACGAACTGTCACAAGTTGTCCTCTAACCTCTACACATGTACTTTGGCACCACAGACATATATACACACAATAAGTAAATAATACTAATTTTAAAATATTTCTTACTTATTAAAAGTAAATACAACATTGTTCACTTATGTAAACCTAAAAATCTATGAAGATAATCACAAAAGAATTAACGTATATTTTCAAATTTTTAATATATTTTTGTTAAAGTTTTATTTTTATTTACGTGTGTGTGTGTGTGTGTGTGACTGCCTGTTTGTATGTGTACATGTGTGCAATGCCTACAGAGGCCAAAAGAGGATGTCAGATCCCCTGGAGCTGGAGTTACAGAGGTTGTGACCCACCTGATGTAAATGCTGGGAACTGATCACTGGTCTTCTGCAAGAGCAGGAAATACTCTTAAGACACTGAGTCATCTCTCCAACACCCTTTTCTCTGTTTTTATAATGTTGTAAGAGCTCTAGAATTTTTTATTTTTTTCTTTTGTATTTACATATGTATGTACATGTCCCCTGACAATTAACATAAAAGCTTTGTTATGAAGAAAAAATTGAAAGTAACACTTTCCTATTTAGCCAATCTGTAAAACAAAAAGTAAATGGGTCATTTCATTTCTCTGTTGTAGACATTAGCTTATTATCCTTTCATAAACATATTACTTATAGATTTAAAGTTATTTTTAAACAACGCCAAACTACTTTTAAGGAGAAAAATACTAATAAAATTAAGACTATTCTTTGAGTTTTATGTTAACACTAAATTAAAGAGCTAATTGCTAGTGTCAGAACTACTGTACATGGTGATGGCTGAAGGCATGGCATCAAAGGACAGGTTGCCTTGTAAAATTCAGGGGAACTACCATCTAGCTATGTGACTGTGGGCATGTTTCACAATGCTTTTGTTCCTTGATTTCCTTATCTAGATAGAAGTAAGAAAGAGACACTAATGTCTTCTTTGTAAGACTTATGAGAATTCAATGAGTCAATATGTGAAAAGTGTTTATTTTTCAGGTTTAAAGTATAGCTGTAAATGTTTACATTAATGCTTATGCTCTAATGAATTTTCTTACAGTAAAATGATTTCTAATACTTATAGAGACATATCTATTACTTAACCATTACATCACAAAATATAAATAAACAAAAAACACCTCTCACTATTGCAAAATATTCTAACTTGCTTCAGATTTTAGTAAATATAAAAAAAAGACATCTGAGATACAGCCATTTTATATATATGGTACAAATAAATACTTTATAAATAAAAATTTTCACCTCTTACACCAATTGCTTTCTCATATTCTACATCTTAGAGCTTTTTAGTGGGGGGATACAGGGTCTTCAAATGCTGCTCAGGCTTGCCACAACACCCATCTCAGGCCCACCCTATCACTCTGCCACACTCTCCCGAGAAGCTAGGATTAGTACTTTAAGGCACCAGTTTTTCTTACCTGTAAACCACCTATTTCCTATTATTAATTTTCGTAAAATTTGATACTGAGCTTTGAGTAGTTTCTGTGCATAAATGATACCTACATTAAACTATGCAGGAAAAGATTAAAATGTAGAAACTTACAATTACTAGATATGAGTGATTCAAAATTTTATGGATTATATATTTGACTGTGTTAGGTGTCACACTGTGCATACAAGCAAAAACTGTTCTGAATCAGGCGTGGTGGCGCACGCCTTTAATCCCAGAACTTGGAGGGTAGAGGCAGGCGGATCTCTGTGAGTTCAAGGCCAGCGTGGTCTCATAGTGAGTTCCAGGAGAGCTGGGGCTACAGGGAGACCCTGTCTCAAAAATACCAAAAAAATGGTATACTTATGGGCATGCAGGCAAAACACACTTAAAATAAAAATACATCTTTAGAAAATAAAATGTTTGGACAAGTGTGGTGGTGCATGCCTTAAACCCAGCACTCTGGGGCTGGAGAGATGGCTCAGAGGTTAAGAGCACTGACTGCTCTTGCAGAGGACCTGTGTTCGATTCCTAGCACCCACATGGCGGTTACGAATCATCTTTAACTCCTGTTCCAGGGGAATCTGAAGTTGTCTTCTGACCTCCATGGCATTGCACAACACAGATGCACTCACATACATGCAGGCAATACACTCATACACATAAAATTTTTTTAAAAAAATTAATAGTAATAATTTTGTAATTATTACTACTAGTAATAACAGAAGAGCACCTGCACATTTCCTTCTAAAAGTTTCTACTAAAAGAAAAATTGCCTTAATGTGTATTTCATTTTTTCTATTTTAAAAATATATCATTTATTACTATTTTGTGTTAATTTTAGGCAAATCAATTTGTTTAAAAAATAACCTGCTGTCCTATAGGATGCTGCTGTAGACTAATGTTTGTGTCCTACAAAATTCATGTTGAAATCTAATTTCCCAATGTGACTATATTTGAGGGAGGAGGTTGGGAGATGATTAGATGATAAGGGTGGAGCCCTCATAAATGGAATTAGTGTGCCTATAAAAGAAGCCCTGAGAGCTACTTTACCCCTTCTGCCATGTCATGACATAGAAAGAGGATGACATCTATGAACTAGAAATCAAGAGCTTTCACCACATATCAAGCCCACTGGTGCCTTGATATTGGACTTCTCAGCCTCCAGGCCTTTGAGAAATAAATTTCTGTTGCTCACAAGCTACCCAATCCATGGCATTATGGTCTAGTAACTAAGCTGGATTAAGACAGATACACTTCATAATAGTATTTGATGTAATAATGCATGCTATTCTTTGTTAGAATGTAGTTGGCACAGTCTCAGGTTGAAGATTCAATAGCTATAGGTTTCTCAATTTTATAAAAACATCTAGAAACTTCAAATAACAAAAATATGAAAACTTGGTATTACTCTACCACATGGCATTATCTACTTACAATACTTGATCAATACACTGATCAACTTTCATTGTACACATTTATAGCTTATTACTTATATTGAATTAAGACTTTTCAATGTTAATACTGCTAAAACTATACTAAAATTAATCACCCTTGTAATCTTTTTTAGGAAAATAAAACTTTCAAAAATTAAATCTGGACATACCTCTAACATTAATTGTGTAAACTCTTCATTACTAAGGAATGTAGGTTTCCAGTCCTGTCGAATTTCACTAGCATCTGACTGTGCAGTGATTTCTGTAAACAGATTGACACATTAGTGGCATACTCTAACCACTAGGAGAGTACAAAAACTCTACAAGTTGCCCTCTTGTCCTACTCTAATTAAGATAAGAATGACAGGCAGTATTTATTGATCTGCATAACAAGAGGCGGTGTTCTGGTATGATAGAACAGCTGAGTTAATATGAGACATTATCTTGTTGAACTTGGCCTGAATTTCAATTTCTGGGTTTTTGGAAGGGAGATATGATAGCCTCTTTGGCTGACAGACATGAGACAGATTCCTGCGTGGCATAATTATCAAATAAAAACAAGCAGTTTACATCAAGATTATTCCAAACATTTTGAAGAAACTTTTTTCTTCTTCTTTTCCTTGTCATTCAAAGGGTAATATCTAGAGCAGAGATAAGCAAATCAGCCCAAAGGAAAAGTTGTCAGTGAGGTCAGCAAGTCTGTTTTCTACAAAAAGGACCCATTTTTGCCTGGCAAAATGATTCCTCCAAGTCTTAGTTACCTTATCTTAATTAGTTCAGGAGACTAAATTAAGACTTGGGGCAAAAACTTCATAGCAATATTACTCCGAGAGTGACTTTGCTTAGTGTTTTCTTTTTTCATGTTCCTAAGGATATGGAGCGGACAAAACTTCAGAGTTCCCTGGCATGATCACATTATTTTATCATAGTTACTATTTTATTTTGCTACAGATAATAGATTTAGTTGTGAGAATGTTATTTATAAATAATGAAATATGAACCATTTACTTAAATACCTTGTCCATTTTTAAAAAATAATTTAAAAACTACTGTTTCAGGCTGGCTTCAAATTTGGTGTTTTGTTGTTTGTTTTTATTTTTTTGAGACAGGGTCTCACTATGTAGCCCAGGCTGGCCTGGAACTCTCAATGTAGACCACACTGGCCTTAAAAAATACAGAAATCCGCCTGCCAAGGTGTACAACACCATGCCACAGGTTCAGTGGATTCAAACTTGTGATCCTCCTGCCTCAGTCTCTGACTGCTAGGATTATAGGTACACATCACCATGCCTCACCATTTTTTCCATTTTTAATATCAACAACAACAACCAGGCAAATTAAAAATAGGTGTCACTGACTGTACCTTATTTTGTAGTAAAAAGTAAGGTTTGTATTATTTTGATGTTTTATTGCCAGATACTAAAATACAGCATACTTACACTCCAAACCTGGCATTTTACAAGTGCCTATAATGAACTACAATGGATAATTAAAAAGCATAGCTACTAATTCTGTGAAATAGTCATGCTCTTTAAATTGATATCAACTACATACAGTTAGGGAAAAAAATTTAAATAACTTAAATATTAAAATAATAATTTATATCCACAAGGAAATCCAAAAAAAGTTTAAATACAGGTCTATTTCAGATGGAGCCTTTAAAATCCCCTTATAATTTACCATAAATTTCATTTTTGTGAGAATTATACATCCAATTTTAGGGGGAGACCTAATTAATGCCAAATTAATATTGTATTGTCAAATGGTAGAATGTATACATTTCACTTTATTTCATTCAACAATCATTTACTGAACTCCTACAATCATTCGCTGATTTTAGTGAATGTGACATTTAAACAGGGTACTAAGGTTACTGAGAACGCTATGTGTGGAGAGAGGTATAGTGTAATGATAGAAGGGGCAATAAAAATGAAGATAAGTGATTCTGACAAACTTACAAAAGAATCACAGAAAAGACTATGGCAAAATTCCAACAGTATTTTCATGTTGGAGCCCTGGGTACCTAAAGAGATGGTATAAAAATAGAAAAAGCCAATTTTAGAGAAACTGACTTGACAAAATGAATATGAATTCTGTTATAGAGGAACTGAGTTTGGAGACATGGAAAAGTGGTATCTAGAAGTTAATCAGTATTGAAAATTTTGCATCTAAAGATTTAGTAGCTTAATGTAGATGCATAGTTACTATAGTTATAAAATGAGATAACCACAGAAAGATTGAGAATTCAAAGATAAGTCCAAAATGTCACATTTTAGAGGGTAGAGGAGAAAAAGGAAAGAAGTTAGTTTCAGATAGGAAAAAGAAGCAGCAACACAGAATACTGGAAGCCATAGGGAAAGAAAGTCAGTGGAAGACAGATCAAGATTTCCAATTCTAATTCTACAGAAAGCACAAGAGAAAAGCTTTTGTCATTCTGGGATGGGTGGGTAATGTCATTAATGAAATTAATGAAATAATTTCGAAGAGTAGTGGCGCATAAACCAGTCTAGCAATGTATTACAACGTGAGGTTGGGAAAAGTAAACAGAGGCAGTAGTTACTATCTGTCCTTCTAAGATGGTCTGCAGTTTCACTTGCAACTGAAAAAGCAAATGTCCCTTTACAGTTTTTACATAGTGTATTGTCTCTGATACCAAAGTAGTGAATACTTGAAAATAATTTTTTTTGAGGACTGATTTAGAAAAGATAATTTTCTTCTATTAACAAATATATTTTTTAATGCAGTGTTTACTTCCTAGACAGAAATGAAAATAACCTTTCAAAGTGGCATGTAACAACCTTATGTTGACTTGGCTCTTTCCAACACACCTATAACTTTCCGACACACACATGCTCCAGTTACAATCAAGTCTCTGTGTTTCTCTGCTTTTGCAAGTAGTATTATCTCCATTGTATAAAATACTGTTTTCCTTACCTAGCTTAAAAGGAAAACTGGGTTAAAAAATTACCTATTTCTAAGCTTTCTTTAACATTCCTTCCTTTATGTTAAGTCATGATAAAATGTGTTCTCACTGCAAGCTTACAGGTTACAAGTATTACGCATAGAGAATCATTTGTAATTTAATCAGGTGTTCATACACTCTCTCCCCAGGCTTGAGTGACTTGAGAGCCAAGAAAGAAAGTCATCCTACTTCATAAGGATCTAGGGTATAGAAAGTACTAAATAAATGCTTGTTGAATGAAAGAACATACCTGAGAATCCTTTTTAATCCTGAGTATTTCATAATTCATTATGCTTTAAGGGAGACTCTGTTATAAAAGCCACACTCATTTTACAAAGTGAAATTTTTACCTTTATGTTTTCGTAAAAAATCAATGCTCTTCTGCAGAACAGTAGACTTGTCCATCTTTCTAGCATTACCAGGAAGCATAGACCCCAGTTCTTTAATGAGAACATTAAATTGATCTCTACGTTTCTTTTCAGATTTGTTTCTAGATACTCTAACAAGAAAAGAAATCAAATACATAGGTTTTTAACAATTTATTTAATTACACAAATAATTTAATACAATGCTCAATTTGGACATGACATAGTATACACTTCTATAAATACAGATGACAATAAATATTTATTTCCCAAGTCTCCAATAATACATTAGTTTGGGTGATGATATTTTTTTGAGAAGTTATTTGTTTGGTGTGTATATGTATGATGTGAGAATATGTGCACATTCATGTGAATAAGACATGTGTGTGCCACAGAGATCAGAGGACAGCTTTGGGTGTCGGTCCCTGCCTTCTACCATGTTTGAGACAGAGTCTCTTTGGATTTCCACTTTCTATGGAGGTTAGCTAGCATAAGGGCTTCTCTTCTCCCCACCTCCATTTCCTCATAGGAATGCTGGGATTTGCACGGCTCTTACAATGGTTCTCAGAATTCAAAATCAGGTCTTTATACTTCTGCAGGAAGTTCTTTAACCCACTCAGTCATCCCCCAGCCCTGGGCAATAGTTTTTCATGTAAGTTTAACACCAAAGAAATTATTGTGGGGCTGGAAAGATGGCTCAGCAGTTAAGAGCAACAGCTGCTCTTGAAGAGGACCTGGGTTCAAGTCCCAGCACCCATTTGGTGTCCAACAAGCATCCTAACTCCAGTTCTAGGGAAGTTTAACACCCTTTTCTGACCTCTGCAGGCACAGCATGACACGGATGCATAGGTGCAGGCAATACACTCATACACACACAAAAAAAATACTAAACAAAAAGAAATGGTTGTATATTATGCAACTAACATACATGTTTTTATGAAAATGCCAGTACTGATTGCTTTATATTGCAAGTTTTATTTAATCTAAAATTTACCAAAGACTGAGGCTTGTAAATATGCAGATACATTTTGTGAAAAAACATACAATGTGCGAGAACAGATTGTTAAGAAATTACTGACTAGGAGGAAATTAACTATGTAATGTAAGTTTAACTTTACAAGAAGAAATCTCTAAAAATAAAACTCTATTCCCATGTACACTCTCACTCTTCTTGCATACTGCTAGATCCCAGCCTCTAACACAGAGCTGTCTGTCCATATAGTGACTTAAAATGTTTTTCATCTAAACATTTAGGCACAACATCTAACAGTAAGCATTCTGCATATGCTAAATGAATAATTACTATTATTTTTTTATGAAGCAATATCCAGTTAACAAAGTTTGAGAGGCAAATAAATTCAATCACTTATAAAGCAATTCCTTTTAATATGTCTGAGTATTTGTTCTGTGGTCAGATTTTCTAAATTAATTTTTATTTAAGCATACTTTCAAACGGTCAATAAACTGCATACTGACTGTAAGCTCTTCTATTATACCTACTACTATACCTAAATTCTGGATACCTTTGACAAGTTTTGAAATTTCTATTTATGTATTATCTAACATAGGTATTATTCACTCATGTACTACTGTATACTTCATATCAAACTACCTTTTTGCTTTGTCCTTGTCATCTTCTTCCACCAATCCATCAAAAATACTACTGTCATCTCTAAAAAAAAAAAAGAAAGACAAAGTAAGAAAGAGCAGACTCACTAGCTTCAGCTCTACTAAAGTGACAGGAGAAGCCACTCAGTTATACCCTAGGATTTTTCAAATTAATAGACCAAGCAAATTCAAGTTCAGTGATTACTGATTTTCTAATAAAGTTTAGCTATGTTTAATTAAACTTTAGGTTTTTGACATGAGCATTGTAAAAGTATTTATACTCAGTTATATGTATACAACAGGCTAAACAAGAATTTGGCTAGTTTAAATATCTTATTTCAAAATTTTAATAACCACTGAAAATCCATATGGCATCAATATAAATTTATGTGACTTGAAATTGTATTAACTATAATAGCATACTTTAAAACTTTTTCTGAAACAGCCATGTAAAAAAATGGCACAACTTACAAATATCACAGTAACTAGCTCATTAACTTAGATATTTTCACTGGGTATGTTAGCCTATGCCTTTAATCCCAGCATACTAGAGGCAGAGGCAGGTAGATCTCTGGGAGATCCAGGCCAGCCTGGTCTACATAGTGAGTTCTAGACCAGCTGGGAATATACGGAGACCTTGTCTCCAAACAAAACAAATTTTATAGATTTTCATCTACTTATTGATTCATTTGACAAATATTTATTAGTATTCACATGCCTGGATGATCAGAGACACTTTCTGATGTTACAGAACAGTAACTAGTATTTACAACTTATAGTTTATTTTCTAGTAGAAAGAATCACAAATGAAAATATGTGGCAATAGGCCATATTTTTTAAGAAAAAGTCATGTTTGAAACCCTAGGTGGTTGCTTTAGTCTGAGTCATTAGGGGAGAATCTCTTTTAAGTGGAAACACTGATCTAAGTGACAAAAAGGATATTGCTTTGAGATTTGGAAGAAGTACATTCTAACAAATTACCTCACTAGCAGCTAATGCTTAAAGCTAAGAATATTAAAGTTTCTGGTTGTTGATAAGGTTCCATATGAACTCCCTAGTCACTCCTGTAAGCCACATCTTTCTATGGCTTGTGAAGATCAATAACTTATAAGGTATCTATCCATTGGACTCACTTTTGAGATTAGTGGTAAATCTTATTTTATAGAGGTTCATGTACAGACTTTGAAGATTCCATTTATGCCTGGGAAATTATTTTTTTTAAATCCTATGTGGATGTACATTCTTCTGAGGAAAGAGTCTATAGCTTTCATAATATTCAGATGAGTCCATTATTAACAATCACTGCTTTATCTCCAAACATAAATAAGCCATCCCACATGTCACACTGTGTAGAAAAGTAACTGAAAATCATTCAGAAGCTTCAGTGTCAAAATCATATGCAATCCCCCTGGGACAGTGAAATGTCCTTTCTCAGAAGACTGGTCCTAGAGTACATCAATAACTGCAACACAGTGCAAAACTGTGGCCACAGTAAAGCCAGAACCCTTGCCTTCAAGTATCATGTTCTGAGTATATGTTGTTCTTTAGCTCATAGAAAGGGAGGCAGGTTGCTTTCAGATGTCAACATTCACTCGCTTTACAACTTCATCTGAAAAATTCTTAACGAATTGTAGTCATCATGCACTGAAGTATTATGTGACCTTAATTAAACAAGCTATTTAATCTCTCTGACCTACTTCTATAAAATCTTGCAGAATTATGAGATTAAATGAAATAACATAAAAAGATTTTGTTCATCAGTTACTAAAGTACTCTACAAATGTTACTGCATTTCATCAAATGTAAACCATTATTAACTATAAGATTCACCATTATTTTAAGTATCCCTAAGGAAGAAAATGGGGGAGAGGGAGATACAATTAAAGTCTGATAAGTCAACTGTAAGACCCATCAAAGGTTTTAAATGTTAAAACGAAAACAACTACAACAAACGACCTCAAGAGTTTCAGACATAGGGGCTAGGGATGCAGCTCAATAGTAGATCACTTGCCTGGTAAAAAAAAAAAATCAAAGAAAAAAAGGTTTATCTTTTCCCCAAGAATTCTATTTAAAGATTAAAAATTAAATAATGATCCAAATTATAGTTACCTCGTCAGTCACAAATGCTAAACTGTTGAAAGGATAGAGTTAGAACCAATAGACTCTAGAAGGTGCCAAGGAAACATTGTAGTCATACTATCACAGAACAGTTTTTTATCAAAACATTCAAAATTAAAACCCATTTATAACATAACAGTTATGGTTAAGCATAGAAGCCCATCTATCAGGTTGATATAGACCATTATTCTAATAGTGAATTTTTAAGGGGTGCTATATAATTCAAAATAAAAGTCTCTAAAAACATACCTGTCAACAATTGAGCTCATTTTACTACAGCTTACGGTAAACAACATAACATACTACGTTTTCGTCTTGTGGTAGACATTTGTACTTCTCCTTGGTTGAAAAGGAAAAGAAATGGTTATTAGTTTTCTAAAACACTCTTACAAAGTTATCTTGAGAAACACTGTATGTTACCATTTGGACTTAAAAATGAATCTAAGGTACTATTTTCAAGCAAATACCTTTGGGTGGGACATATTTGAGGCTCTTTTTCTTCTAAAAGGAACATGGAAAAATTAAGGTTCATAATCCATGTATGTAATCTATAGTAATAAAAAGGCCATTTTTAATATTCAGTATATGCATTTGACTATGTAACTGTAAACAGGCTGTAATGATACCATCTAATAAGAATCTGTTGAAACCCTATTTTTTTGTCAAACAATATAGTAGGTTGTGTGCATATAAGATGAAAGGCACAACTACTAACAGGCAAAAATATGCAATGAACAAGGAGACACATATATAAATTATAATAAAATGTACAATGAAGGCTGTATTGTGTAGTGGTATCACCCAGACAAGAGACAAGTAAGTATGCCTATGGAAAGTACAGGGTGAAATCTGAGGAAGTAGTTTTGATGACAGCGAATCAGTCAAGGGTCAAGATTTTTGTTACCAAAAATCTACAGTCTAGCCCAAGGGCAGGAATCATCAGCATCCTCTGAGAACTTGTTAAATGGCAAATCCTGGATTCCATCCTGGCCTGCTGAATCAAAATCTACATTTTCACAAGATCCTCAAATTTTATTTCTATGCCTATTTAAGTTTGAGAAGCAGTAAGTTACAGGACAGAAAGAGGCAACTGCTGAAAGGATTCTAAGGCAGATAATGACAATTTGCAATGGCTCAGGCTATCATGAGATGAGAGAACACCATATATGAAAAGCTCAAGAGCGCTAATGTTTCTTCATGGGTGTGTTTTAATTACTAGCACCTAAGTGACAAGAGAAGTTGGGAAAAGTAAATCAAAGAGAGAAAAGCTATTTTATAAGTGTATCATACCCTTTCTACAGTTAAGCTGCTTTATACATTTAAGCAATTGAATCTTACTACTTTCAGAGCCAGGTATAGTGGTACATGCCTTTAATCCTGGCACTAATGAGGCAGAGGCAGGTGGATCTCTGTGTGATCTAGGCCAGCCAGGTCTACAGTGAGTTCCAGGCCAGCAAAAAACCAAAACCAACCAAACAACAAAAAAACTCTACAAACTTACTACTTTCAAACTAAGTCATAAGTTCAAAATTCCTCCCTAAGTTCAATATAGTCTTTCAAAGTTATAAGGCAGATTTTATCTAAAATCAAGACTTAAACACTGGGGCTGAGAGACAGCTTAGTAGTTAAGAGCAAAGGCTGCTCTTGAAGAGGACCCAAGTTCAGTTCCCAGAACTCACATGACAGCTAACAACTGTCCATAATTCCAGTTCCAGGGAATCTGATGCCCTCTTCTGATCTCTACAGGCATTGCACAAAATGGGTGCATTTACATACATGCAGACAACACACTCATATATATAAAATAAAAATAAATACTAAAATATTTTTTAAAAACTTAAAACAGTGATTAATGACCTTATTTCAATAAACAGTCTAAGTTTTGAGGTATAAGAAGTTTTATACTATTATTTCCTTTATTTAAAATTTAGAAAGTAATGTAAACTAATGTGTAACTATCTAAAACAGAGGAGTTTAAAGGTATTAAAACAGGAGATTCTAAAAAATTCCTATCACTTTTTCAAATGTATCTTCCCAAGAGGGAAAGAGAATAGCTCTTGACAAACAACACTGCATTGTCTACGTGGTTCTGGCTAACAAAGTGAGACTGTGAGAGCTAAGAATTTTTAAAAGATGTTAACCAGAGGCAACAATAAAGTGGATTAATCATATGGTAGAATACTGTGATTCTAAGCGTCTGGGTTAACATCAGCAGTTGGAATATACAGTTATAGAACATCAGCCCTAGAAGAGAACTTAAAGTTTGCCTATCAACCTTTTAGTTCAGCAGAAATACTAATGGCAATAACAGACATTTCTATCACAAAAACAAAAAGCACACTGGAAAGGAGTCAGTCAGTGTGGGTGAATTAAAAAAGTTTTAAAGTCAAAGTCTGTGCCTTATGTGTCTTCTAGTGAGCCACCAGAGCATGCTTAACTGTCAAAAGTAGAAAACAGAACAAACAAGAACAGAGGGAAAAATACTATATGCTGCTGACTATAAAAAGCACGAATCCAAAATGGTTTAGAAAACCGATCAATTCATTATTAAGCTGCTCTCTACTATTATTAACAATATTTTTCCAAAATTTTATTGTTTGGCTAACCGAACAACTTATAACTATATTCTCTCACAAGGTAGCTCCAGATCATTATTCTCTTTTTCCAGTCAACTGAGAGATATGCTTTAAGAGAAAAGTAAGAGGTGAAATGAGTGGAACTGAATAATACCACGCACATGGTAGCTAACAACCATCTGTAACTCCCGTTTCAAGTGATTCGACATCCTTTTCTGACCTCTGCGGGTATGGCATGGGTGCACCTACCTACATGTAGGCAGTACATTCATACACATAACATAAAAATAATAAATAAAATATTTTAAAGACACCCACACCATATCCCTATACAAGCTCAAGAGGAATGCTAAGCATATGGTCTACATATATACAGCTTATTACATTTTTATGAATTTTTTAACATAACAGACCAAAATGATTTGCAATAAGTCTTTGAAAGGATCATATGCAATTACTCAAATGCAGGGTTCACCAAAACTAAAAAGGATCAAGTTATAGTTAGGGATTAAATGTTCCTTTTACATAAGCCCCTTGAACTCCAAGTCGCTGGGTGATTTGATTTACCAGGGAGCATATATCATATAACTATGCCATGATGGCAGAGGGTAATGAAGGCAGGAGTGCTGGTATATAAAGAACACTTTATAACTAGCTTCAGAAACAGTTCACCAGGGAATGGGCATATACTAAGGCATTTTTGTGAACAATTCAAATTTTGCAAATATAGAATCACGTTTCTCATTCAATATGCAACATTACACATAATTAGAGAAAATTAGTGTCTGGCAGTCTGTCTTTGGAACAGAATTCTTATACATAAAATATAACCCATTTTCAAAATAAACCATGTAGTATATTATTAATGGCATTCTGCGATTTGTTTTCTGAATCCCATCTGCTGCCCTCTCCCCCAAAGCTTTCCTTTTCAACAGTACTAATTTCTTCTTTTGTAATTATTCTAATCAATACATTAGCACATTTCTTTGGTACTCTCATTTAAAAAAACAGACCCACCCCAAAATGCAGAAACCCACCAACCACCTTCAGCTACTGCTCTATTTTGTTTTCCCTTTCCCAGGAAAACTGTGATTGCTACTTCAATGTCCTTACTTCCATTATTTTATTTTTAAATTTAGTGTTTATTTCCACTTGTACAGTATTTATTTCCACTTTATATACAAAGTTTATAAAGTTGAATGATTTTAGAAAACCAACTACAAAGTCAGAAGTCTTCTGTTCTCTGACCCCATAGCCCACTTTCTTTTGGTAACTGTTTTCTTGAACATCTTCTGTTACTTTTGACTATTTTCAGGTAGAGTGTCTAGTTGACTCTAGTTGTCCCAAAGTATTTAAACTAACCTCTCTGTTCATAGTTTTAGGCATGTTATACTGAATTCCACTGAGAGAATATGGGTTTTCTTGGGGGAGGGGTTATTTCATTTTATTTTTCCTTTTCTCTTCCTTACTTTATACACATACATACCTCCCAACATCATAATTCTGAGTTAACATTATTATCGCTTAAATGCAGTTCACAGCTGAACCTTGGCCTAGACACTTTCTCCTACTGAGCAGTTTTTCCTTGGAGTTAATAGCTGTTTTCTTTTACTGTTTATCTAGTTTAGGTATACTTATTGCTTATTTACTACAAGCTCTTTCCTGTACTCTGTATCTTCATATACATTATATATTCTACCATTTGCCAGCTGTTTCTCTTGGCACCTTCTAATCTATTCCTATAGGGTCATACCTGGTAACCAGCACTGTCATCTTGGAAATCAGTATTCACAATCAACCTGATGATTCCCTAGGTCTTGAAGTTGTTTCTTCTACCCTAAGTGTCTAGATTTGGATCTTAACGGACACTCCCCCCCACACCAAAAGCTCATGTGCTGAAGGCTTAGTTCCCAGCTAATGAGGCTACTGGCAAACAGTAAAAAACATTAGGAGGCATGACCTAGTTGGACCTTTCTTTTTGCTTCCTGACTACCAGGAAGTGAGCAGTTTTATTGCCATGATATTCAGGCTCATCACAGGCACAAACAATGAAACTTAAGTAACTGAGGACTGAATCTCTGAAACTATGAACCAAAATATACCTTACCTCCTATTAAAGTTATTTATCTCAGGTATTTTGTAATGATGATTGAAAGATAATCAACACATCATGACTTCATGATTGTAACTTACTGTGTTTTTGTTAAGAGTTACTAAGAAGTAACTGCCTGACAAAGGAGAAATGGTATCAAAAGTCCAAATGCATTCTAGTTACTCATCCTTTAGATGTGACCAAATTATTTCACCCTGAAAGTCACCCACTGTTCTAAAATTTAATGGTGCTGTGTCCTGTCTTCTGTTTATTTTATTTTACTTTATTTGTATCAATCATTCAGTAGACTCTAAAGTCTTCTCATTCGGGGAAGTTTTAAATTGTTCTCTATTCACTATCTTTTCCCTTTCTTCCATTTCTTTTTCTGGAACACTTATTACTTGAATGTGGAAGATCCTAGACAGGTGCTCTAATTTTTTTCTTTCTTATTTTCAATCTTTTCTCTTTACTTTTAGCACATTGATTTTATTTTTCAATCCTTTCATCTAGCTCTTACTTATTTTATCCTTTCTAGAGAATTCAGAGTCAAATTCAGACTTCTACAAATATATAGGAAGAGCAATTGCTTCTGTTTAAGAGTCAGGGAAAAGAAACCTTGTAAAACAGACTTACAACATATTATTGTTTAGTGCCACTATCACTTTTATATCTAGACATAAAGAGTGCTTTCAATTCCTAACAATTTCATAGGCTCTGCAGTGCCAAGAAGTTTCTCAGCCTTCCCACAACTAGTTTTGCAAAGGTACTATACTTCCTTTTGTTTTTCACGGTCTAAAATTTTGTTGCTATTGGGTTTTTTCTTCTTCTATTCTCTATGTCCTTGGAAGTTGTATCATTTGCAAAAATCCTTTTGCTTTATTTAGTTGTGATTGGTTAATATTGATTGTCAACCTTACTGGATTAAGAAACAGCTAGGAGATTAATGGAGCAAGCTCTGGGTATGTGTGCAAAGGGTATTTCCAGAGAAAACTATGTCATGAGGGCTCTGACAAAATGATTGGATTAATCCTTTGATCTATAATATGATATTATTGGGAGGTGGTAAAAGGTAGGACAGGCCTAGCTGGAAGAAACAGGTCTCTGGGGGCCCAGCTTCTGGAGGCTGTACCTTGCCCTGGCCTCTCTACTATGCCCATCTCCTGCTTCCTAGATACTATAAAGAAGCTCCCTGTTACATGTTCCTACTTCTCGGTTGGTCTGCCCATGAGCATACAGTCAAACGACCATGGACTAAATCTTCCAAAACTATAATCCAAAATAATGAATTGGTCCTTCTTTAAGTTGTTATGTCAAGCACTAGATCACAGTGATGAGAGCTAATGCATTAGCTCTAATGATATTTGAAAAAGTGAAATTTAATTGCCTTGCTCACCACTTCAAACTGCATGTCCCAATCCTCTCTTGTCACTGTTAAGCTTCCACTCCTACAAACCCCATCAAGATTTCTTCCTCCTAATAACCAGAAACACTTGTGTTGCCAAATCTAGTGGCTGCTTCCATGATTCTCTAGTTGGTCCCTTGGTAGATGTGATACCGTGACCACTTCTGCACTGATTCAATAATTTCTTCTCTTGACTTCTATGACAGAATATTTTCCTGCTTCTCTATTCATTTTAGAGGCTGTTCTTTCTTCTATTATAAATATTAGCCTGCACTACAGCTAAATCCTCAAATCTGAATACACTTCCTAGTCCAAACTTTGATTTCGAAAGCTTTATACCAACAACTCCTAAATGTATTATCTTAGTTCAGACTTTCAATTTCAGAGATACATCCACACTGCCTCCCCCACCAACCCACCACACGTTGTAACAAAGTTTCATGTGACACAAGCTGGTCTGAAATTTCAGATCTGCCTATCACTACCTCCAAGTGCTGGGATTATTGGTGTTTGCCACCCCACCTGGTTTCACACTGCCATATATATATATAAATGGTTTTTTGTATGTGTGCATGTTTATGCAGGTACACATACTCATGTGTGCACATATGGAGGTCAGAGGCCGATGCCGGATGTCCTCCTCTACTGCTCTCCACCTTATTTTTTGAAACAAGGTCTCTGACTGAACCTGAAGCTCACCAATTCTGCTAATCTGAACAGGCAGCTCTGGGAATCCACCTAGTGTTGAGAATACAGGCATACTACACCAAACTTAGCTTTTTATATGTGGGTGCTCTGTCCACAGAACCATCTTCCCAACCCCCATATCTATAGGTTAAGGTAACCAAAATATCATGCAGTTAAACAGCAGACTCTCTTCTATAAATGTATTTTACTCACAATTTTCTTTTCCAAGCTGATCTTCATATATGCTCTGCATTACTTACAACATAGCCCAGCCACATTTGCTTTTTCTCTTCTTTGAGCATCCCACAGTCACTTTTGTCCCACTGCCAAATACAGCTTTGATTTTCCTCGTGGCTCTATACATGGTAAGCACCTTCTGCCATTTCATTCTCAACTAAAATGGCTCTTTTTCAATAAGGCCTTCTCTAACTACCGTATGAAAGCAATCGCCAGTCTATCACATGATCCATTTTAATTCTCTGGATGGTACTAACATTTCTCTTCCTTAAAAAGGCAATCCTCATGAGAACAGGGAGGGATGGCTTCAGTCTTATTCGTCATCATGTAAGCATCAACTAAAGTCATACATGGGCATAACTACCATTTACTATATGGTAAATGTTCTGTGATAAATTAACACAACAGCAAAAAATTTTAAGTAAAACTTTCCTCAAATAAATGTGCCAAAATAATTTTTTGTATTTTTCTAGAAAAAGTTCATTCAACAGAGCATTCTAAGATGCACTTGTCTTTACCTTTGGTACTTTTCAGATCTTCTGAACTGATTCTTCAAAAACCACAGGTGCAAGGTCTTCCTTGATATGACTGAACACCAGTCTCAGAATTCTATTCAAACAACAACAACAAAAAGCTAAAATTTCCAACTTATATAGAATGTTATCACAAAAGGGTTTTACTAATTTTTAAACATAACAAGATTTACAACTTTGTTAATAAATGTGCAATAAATTTTAAATTTTATAAACTTTCCAACAAAAGAAAAAAACTATAAATAAGCTAAATTCCACTAATTCTGCTACGGAAATTAAAATACAAAAGTATTTTTAAAACTATACAAATATCCTAATGAACATATAAATGGACAGAATTTGTAACATTAATAATATAAAGTAGGGAGGGTAATAAAAGACTAGAGTTTTTGCATGCAGTTGAAGTTACCAGCTTGAAACAGACAGTTCAGTCATATATAAGATCTATGGTAATGGCAAATATTTTTAAGGGATACACACAAATAAGTAAGAAAACAGTAAAGCACAATAATGCAAAAAGAAGTCAATAAATGCAGAAGAAACCAGCAAAAAGAACAAAAAGAAGACTACAAGAGCTGTTAAGTCAGAAAACAAGCCCTTCCTTACCGTAATTACATTAATATAAAAGGATTATGCGCCCCAAGAGAAAAAGAGAGTAGCTAAATGAACTAATAATAATGAGATGTTTCAACTATATGCTATCTGCAAGATTCACTCTAGATTCAAATCTACACAAAGGCTTAAATAAAAAGGACAAAAAGAAAACATATTCCATGCAAATGGTGAACAAACAAAATAGATCGTGAACAGCGTATATCAGACAAAATAGACTTTAAATGTACGTTTTCTGCTAGTTGTGGTGGTGCACACCTACAGGATATACTTTAAAGGCTCTAGAGGCAGGAGAATCACAAGCATATATTCCTAACAACAAAGCATCCAAACATTAAGTAAACTGAAAGAAGAAAGAGTAAAACAATAGATTTCAATATACTGCATTTCAATCATGGATAGATCATTATGCTGAAGAGACTTGAACATTATACACCAAAAAGACACATAAAGAAATACACCAAGAAAATCTCTAGAACAGAATACCTTAGATCACAAAACAAGTTTTAAAAAATTAAAGCATAAAACATAGTTTCTCACAACAGAATGAAAATAGAAATTTACAAATGTGCAAATTGCACAGCACATGACTGTAAAAACAAAGGGCCAAAGAACAGATACAGAGGGAAATTAGAAAATATTTGAGATAAGCAAAAACAAAAATTTGTGGGATTCAGCAAAAGTAATACTAAGAAGGAATTCCATAGTGTTATATATATTTATTAAAAATTAAGACATGTTAGAGATCAGCATAGTGGCACATACCTTTAATCCAAGCACTTAAGAGGCAGAGACTGGTTGATCTCTGTGAGATCTAGGCCAACCTGGTCTATATAGTGAGTTCCAGTTCAACTGGAGATGTACCTCAATGGTAGTATACTTGCTTAGCATGCCTAAAGTCCTGAGACTAACATTCAGCATGTAAAAATAATAAAATAAAAAAATAAGAAACTTAACTTTTTACCTCAAAGAACTAGAAAAAGAACAACTTAAGGAAGGAAATAACAAGAACAGAGCAGAATTAAAAGACAAAGTTGAGCTTTTTTTTTTTTTTTTAAAGATTAACAAAATTGGAGCTGAAAGATGGCCCAGCAATTAAGAGCATTGGCTACTCTTCCAGAGGAATCTGGATCAGTTCCCAGCACCCATATGAAGGCTAACAACCATCCATAACTACAGTTCCAGGGGATCTGTCGCCTCTTCTGACCTCTGCAGGCATTGCATACATGGGTGCACGTATGTATATACATGCAGGCAATACTCATACACAAAAAGTGATTTTTAAGTTTAAAGATCAACAAAATTGGCAAAACTATTAGACTCAGATAAATAAAATCAGAAATAAGACAATACAACTGAAACCACAGAAACAAAGGGATTCTAAGACACAATTATACAGCAACAAATTAGACAAAACTAGAAAAAATGTACCACATCCTATAAATATACAGCCTACTGAGATTTAAATACAAATAGAAAATCTGAGCAGATAAATATTCTGACCCAAAAATCAAAAACTATTTGACAAAGAAAAACACAGAACCAAATTGGTTTCACTAATTCTATCAAACACTGAAAGAGTTAACACCATTTCTCAGACTCTTCCAAACAACTTAGCAAAATATTTGCAAACTCATTCTACAAAACCAACATGACCATCTTATGAAAACCAGAGGAAAAAAAAATCACCAATAAAAACAAAGGAAAGACCAATACACCTGTGATGGTTAGCACTGTCAACTTCACAGGATTTAGACTTGCTTATTTAAAGAGAGATGCCTCTGGATATGCTTGAGGGATTTTCTAGACTAGGTTAGTCTTTGGGGATGTCTGTGAAGAACTAGCTAGATTAAGTGAGGTGTAAAAACCCACCTTGAATGTGGGCAGCACTATCCCAAGGGATGGAGTCCTAAACTGTATAAAAAAAGAGAAAGCTAACTGAGTAATCTTAAGAGCACTTTTCACTCCCTACTTCCTGACTGTGGATGCACAGTGGACCAGCCACTTCAAGTTCCTGTCTACATGCTTCCCTATGAAGCACTCCATCAACTGAGTTACCAGCCACAATCTGGAATTTTCCCTCCTAAAAAGAAAAATTGTGACTCAGGTGGTAGAGTGCTTGCCTATCAAGCATGAAGACCTGGGTTTGATTCTGGACATAATGATAGTGGTGCATGCCTGTAATCAGGTGAAGATGTAGGATCAGATGTTTAAAATCATCCTCCCTCAGCTATATAAGTGAGTTCAAGGTCAGTGGGGAAACATGAGACACGAGAGAGAGAGAGAGAGGAGAGAGAGGAAAGAAGGGGAGAGGAGAGAGGAGAGAGGAGAGAGGAGAGAGAGAGAGAGAGAGAGAGAGAGAGAGAGAGAGAGAGAGAGAGAGAAACTTGATGAGTCGATAAACAGCTTGAAAATATACAGATTCTCTGACCCAGTAATTTTATTTTGAGAAATAATCGGAAATGGATCCTTAATTTTATATTCACTGCAATATCATTTAAAGTCAGAAAAAAAATGCACATGTCCAACTGTACTTAAGAGTAGCATCAAGATATAAACCTAAATATAGCCAAAGAGAAGACTATGGTAGTTTATGAAATAGTCTACAGATAATGGTTTTCACATTTTCTTCACTACATTCTAAAATTTCATTCATAAACATGCATTGTTTTATAATTAGAAAACTCAAATGCTGTTTTTTTTCCTTTTAATTGTCTAATACTACAGCTTTGCCCACATGTAAGAAAGCTATTAACATAAAATACGTGTTAACTATTATAGAAACCAAAAACAAAAGTAAAACTATTTTCCAATATACTACTCACATCATTTAAAGGGGAAAAATTCTTATAATTTGATCTAATTATTGTTAATTATAAAAGGTTAACTCAGAAACTTAAAGATTAAAACTATAAATTTTATATAGAAACAATAAGACCAAAAGTACAATTTTCAACCCAATAACCTACTGACTGACTGACCTACTTTGTAATTTTGCTTGTTAAATTTGGTATCACAGACATTTTGTTTACTGATGTCAACATTAATTTAAAGTAGTGCAAAATGGGTCTGGTATCACAAAAAAACCCAAGCAACAATCTTTAACTACATTTATCTCCATTTATAAAAAATTCTAACTTGCTTCTGTAGATTAACTTTGCATTAATGCTGAAAAATAATTAATCTAAAAGGATACATTTAACAAAGACCCAAAATTTTAAAATTAACTGTTGAATTTATGAGAAAAAATAAAATTAAACCATAGTTCTCAATTTATTTGCTAGTGAATGGAAATATTAGCTTATCCTACAACTCATATAAAATATTACCAAAAATGATAAACATTCTTGAATCTTTCTATAGCAATTTCTCTTTTTTTAATTTTTACAAAAACTTTGAGAATTTCATACATGTATATAAGGTGTTTTGATCAAATCCATAAATCCATGCCCACTCCCTCCCCTCCAACATTCCCCCCTCTGAAGAGGTAACCCTAAAATCTTTTAAGGATTAGCTAGCTACAAGCTCCCAAATACTTTTGGCATTTTTGGCCTTTGGAACAGAGTATGTTGCTAAGAGGCCCAAGGACATTTTGACTTTTAGCCAAGAAACTGGCTACATTCTTTGGGGTCTTTTTACCCTAACTGCCTAGCCAATTCCTACCTCCTATTCTTATCACACCATCCTCTGAAGGGGTTACCCAAATTGCCAATAGGGAATCGGGGCACAGATGGCTCTGGCTTCTTCCATGCTAAACAGGGACGCAGGGTGAGGCAACAGGAGTACCCCTTCAGTGGGTCTATCTAAAAGACTCCTAAATTGCATAACTCTTGTCTCTAAGGGGAGAAGAATGTCCTTGAATCATGAATAGGAGATGAGGAAAGAACAGGGCAATTTTCAAATGTTCATATGAGAGTCCATTGGAATTTCTTGACAAGGGCTTCCAAAAGCATCCCTTTATTGGGTTCCTCATTTTTCTTGTCTTCCAAGGCCGGACTAGTTGGCTGGGAAGAGTGGCTGAATACTCAGGTGAGGGTCCAATGACCCTGCTTGGCACTCCTTTAATGAATGAGCACAACCTGAATCAACAAGCCCAACTGTGACTATGTTTAGCCATCAGGCTCAGCCAAAGTCATGATGATGGTAGTTATTTTATGCAGAAGGGACTGCTATATAGCATCCTCTTATTAAAAGAACCTGGAATTTAAAAGGATTTGGTGCTAGGAGCCACATATGAGGGAGAACATACGTCGTTTGTTTTTCTGAGTCTGTGTTACTTCACTTAGTATAACAGTTTCTAGATCCATCCATTTACCTGCAAATTTCATTATTTCATCTTTCTTTACTGCTGAAGTAAATATTACTCCACTGTGTAAATATCCCACATTTTTGTTAACCACTCGTCAGCTGAAGGACACTTAGGTTGCTTCCATCTCTTAGCTATTGCGAAAAGACCAGCAACAA